TACATATAATATAAATTGAAATATGAATTAATAAATAATATTATGAAGATTAATACATGAAGCATGGTTATTCCATTTTTTAAATGATTTATGTACTTATTATACATAAATGTATGCACTATGTAAATAATTTAAAAGTATATGTATACTTTTTATGTTTTTTTAATTTCAAAGGACGATTGGAAAAATTATATGGAAATTATAATTATCTTCTTATTAAAAGCGAGACAATTTGAGTAGCGCGCTTTTAAACCAATTTCCTTTGGTAGATCGCAATTTATTACAACAGTTAAATAAGTTAAATATAATTATGCTAGTCTTCGGTCTGTACTAAATTATTCACAGCAGCGCTGGATTCCGGATTGCCTGCAAAATTACTTTTAAAGCTGATTTCAAGTTTCGGGCATCTTCCTTATTACAACTGTGACTTTCCTTTGAGAGGACACTTTTGCGATCAATGTTTATTTCAGATAGCGAAAAAAAGTCCTTACTTTGTGCGAACTTGAAATATTTTTGTTGAATGATTGTAGTTTTTAACATCTTTTCCGGCCATTTTCTTGTTTGCCTTTCCTCGACATTTTGCTTGAGATCGAAGCTTTCTCTCGTCTAAACTATTTTCTTTCAAAATATCCGCTCAAGATTATGTGCCATCTTACGAAGAAATCATTCACGCGCCGATGCACGCTCTTCGCATTCATCTTCATGTTTCTCCCTGAATTCGTTGTTTAACAAATGGGCATTAAGACAATGTGTTAAACGTGAAAGAGAGCGAGAGAGAACAGAGAGACGCAAGTGCGAGCGGAAATTCAAATAAGAGCAGAATGAAAGCGCGCCGTGCGCGAACACGGAATAATGGAAGTATAGCTAGCATTACGAGTCGGCACACAGTCGTTAAATTTTGTATAGAACTGTAACGCTTCAACGATTCAGCATTTCCTGATGAGAATCTGTGTTAATATTTAAACAGACTATTGTCTTTTCATTTAATTTGTATTTTTAATTAGTACTTTTACTTTTTAACCTATATTTAGTGTCATTTAATTTTCAGAATCTCAGGATTTAAATCTTTTCGTAAATAACAAGACCTTCATTGAAATAAAAATTCGTTGAATTAAAAGCTTTCGTAGCCGTTTTGTAATATGAACTGTAATATGAACAACATTAATTTATCGAAATTTATTGATCTATGCACAATATCATACACAACGAAGAGAAAAAACGAAGATAGATAGCTTTATTCTACCTCGATTTTCCAATTGCATATTCTTCTTCTACTGCAGTTAATGGAAAAATTTTTTGCAGCAAATACATTTGGTTGTCTTTTAGACTTTTTGAAATTCATATTTCATCCGCCTGGACACTCCTGTTGTGAAAGATTATTAATCTTTCCAAGCGAGATTATCCCAACAAGCTATGGGGTGGGGACAAGATTGCGAGGGTAAAGTGACCTGCTCTCCCGGTTCCGGTCGCGGTCGTGAGCAGGTGAGGGCACCTGCCGGGCGAAAAGAGAGAGGGTGAGAAAGAAAGACGGCGATTACGATTCCCATGGTTGTGGAAACGAGAGAGAGTGAGAGAGAGAGAGAGAGAGAAAGAGAGAGAACGCGTCTCGTAATCCGTGCAGAAGCGCCAAGTTACCCTTGCTCGAGGTTGCGGAGGGTGACGGAACTACAAGGTGGCGGGCAAAGGAGCCACAGTTGGTTGCGGGCTGTCGCCCTGAGAGCAAGCACGCGCTCTTCCGCGTCCCGGGTCACGACACGCGACCCTCGTGATCGCGTGATCACGCGCGTTGCATATCGAATGGATCGTGCCGGCCGCGTGGTAGATCGGCCAAGCGATCGTCGCGTCGCACCGTTCACCAGTGCGACGGTCAGTCCGCCAAGGTCTCATGGACACGCAACAGCACGCCGTGATAGTGACGGTGACTTGAAAATATATATATATCCCTTCGATCTTTAATCGGCTACTGATTTATCTCTTGACAGCCCGTCGATGATTTTCGTGTTTACGTTTTTCGGGCGCACGGCTCTTTGACGGCGAGGAAATCTCGATGAAATGGATCGTGGGAGGGGCGCGGGTACGCTACGTGATAATTGCTTGTTCCAAATGGGTGCGGTAAATTAAATCGTTCGACCGGGTGTGCATGTGTGTTTAAATATCACTCGTTGATAATTCATTATCTCATCGAAAGAGAGAAAGAGCAGGGAGGAAGAGAAAAAGAGTCATCAGGGAGGAGATCGAGAAAGGTTATTTCACAGCTGACCTCCTATCGGTGATGGTGAACGTATATATTGTGATGGACCATTTAATAAAAAACTTGAAATTATATAAAATCAAAAGCTTACGAAGAGGGTCTTGGCAAGGATTTAAAACGAACGCATTCTAATTGCGGAGAAGGGTGATAATTGAAATCGCCATTCGAACAGGAAACTATTCGTCATGTGGCGTGAGGAATGCCGAAGAAATTGAGCTACTGACATTTTGCGCGCGAAGAACCGCAAGCGGAGTAATTTCTTTGAGTTCGCGAAAAATTACTTTTTTCTTCAACGCGGCAAACTTGACAGTACATACCATATGTGCACGTGCGTGTACTCGAGACAGTTTTCGGGACAATTTCGTCGAGCGCGTGCAAGTAAGCCGTACTGCTTAATTGCTCTTTAGCGTGGAGCTTTAACTCGAGTTAATTGTAAGATAAATCTACGATAAATCATGAAGGCGACGCGCGAGAAATGATTTCACTGTTAATCGCAATTAACGTACATGAGTACCGGGTAAGTTTTTACCGAGAGAAGTTCAAGAGGAAAACGAAAGGAACCCTAAAAACCAAACGCGATCAATCTTCGCTCGGCGTAGAATAGCTCCGGAATTTCCTACGATTTGACAAAATCATTGTCGCAGTTGGACGCGACGAAACTTAATAATCAAGATTAGAAGTACATGTGTGTAAAACGCACAACGACGTCGCGCATGAATGACATGGCACGAGTATGCCAAAGTTCACGTCGGAGTTGTCGGATCTCGTGCAGGCATTACTGTTGTATGAGGTGTCGGAAAACGTTGTTAAGATAAACGTTGTTGATTCTATTTTCGCGCCCGCTAGACAGGTTTTCCCAACGCGGCTTTGATGGCGTTAAGAAGGATTAAGGCTTGTCTACGGCGCGTCAATTCCCTCGTGTACACACATCAGTGATCCACTGTGATTTCGCGTTATACCTTAAAAGCAATACACGAAGCAATCATAAAGTGCATTAAGGAAAGCAGCATTATTCTGCGACTAATCAGCTTGTCTTTTCGGGAAGAATCGATGTATTTATAAAGAAATAATGTGTGTTAGAATTGAAAAATCACTGAATCAATACTCCTATTTTCTGTTAAGAGAAAAAGAATCATCAAGGCATGAATAAATAATAAGAAAAACTAAAATATAGCGTACATTTTTTGAGTGGAAATTATCGGTTTTAGGAATTGCAAGCAGTGCTTGTACTACAAAAGTGCTTTCGCAAATTTCGTCGTACTGTACGAACGCAAGTAACATTTTAACGGAGATATGATATCTCGTCGTGCTATTGTCTGGAACATTTTAGAGAAGCATGAAACAAAGTCTTTCTATCACGAAGTGAATTTCTCAGCAGTTTTACCCATGGGATTGGAGCGACAAGTAGATGAAAAGAAAAGATCTCGGTGATTGCAACGAACGATGACGACGAATGTCAAGACTATCGGAGATGCTGAGAGGAACGGCGATACGACAAATATATTTTGCGACGTAGTTTAAGCAACGATTATTCGCATACAGAGCGGAGAAAGAGAGACGTTTCGTGAATGGAAAGGAGACTCGAGGGATTTGCGGGACGGAATTTCATTATCGTATTAGTCTGAATAAATACTCGAAGGATTTCCGTAGGTAAGATCGATTGCGAGGTTCCAGTAATCTGCTCGCGTTCGACATCCATCTTCCGGGGACCAGAACGAGGAGATTTCCGAGTCTCTCACCCTTCCGTCTGCCTTCCTCTCCTCAACTTTCTCTTACTATCTTCTTCTTTCACTCTTTCTCTTTCTCTTTCTCCGCTACTGTCTCTTCTATATCCTCTCGCCTGTGCGGCGCACTTCCAAATTCTTCTCTCCGAGAAGTTTCAGTAAATCTCACGTCATATCGCAGACATATTATGCATGACTCGGCCGTCGAACACCCGCATCTGACATTCGCGATCGTTTCACATCTCTCAGTAGCAACAGCTTTGGCAAACACGGGTTCTGCACGGGTTCTGATTCTGTTACAAGGATTGATTCATCCTGTGAAGTCGAGCAGAACCAACGAGGAAAACGCGGTGATCCGTAAGACCTACGGAAGGAGTGAAACATCGATTAGAAAGACATGAATTCGTACGATAGGCGCCAATAATGAGAGCACAAACGTGTGACGGGCAACTTTGAAGACAATTCAATGTCCGTTGATTGGAAACTCATTCGTATCGTTGCCGAGAACTTTGACAAGCGCTTCCGAGAACAGCAATTAATGATGACGAATACGGAAGCATATGTCGCGCTACGTCTTAGACGTGATCAACAATTTCGTCGACGACGGCCTGGTCGGATAATTTTATTTTGCAATTTGAGAGTCGTGTAAAAATCGTGTCGTGAGGAAATAATTTTTCACGACAGAAAAGGTGATAGGATCATAACGAGTTGAATCTCTCTTTTTTTCTCTTGTATCGATGACGATGAACATTTTAACGCGATAGAATGGGAAAAGCAAATTGTACAATACCGTTGTCCCGTGATGAATAATTTACAAAGGAACAACGTATTGCGAAGATTAGATTATTAAACTTCCGAGGGTTTATTGCTACGCAATATTTCACATCCCAGGACGATCTTTATTGTGGTGAACGAGGATTTCGGTGACTCGTGATTTCGGAGACCATGGACAAGCCGCGTGATCGGGCGATCGTCCGGCAAACAAGGAGCCGCTCATCAACCATAACCGGAAAGTTGGAGCCGGGATGCTGCACGCCGTTATGCTAGGTAGCGGTCCAGGACGGGGGAGACGCGAGTGGTATCCAGGATTTTATCTCCAACGTCGTCGTCTCGGCTGTAGAATGAATCGTGGCGAGCAGGAGACTCTTTTCCGGCAAAGCCGACAGATCACGCGGATCGTACCTTCTCGCGAGGACCTCGTTTTGAGTGTTCTCAAGTCGCCAATTAATCAACAGCAGCAACAGCAACGACATCAGTATCCATATCAGTCGCATGCCCAGGGTCACTTTAACTGCCAAGGTCATCCAAACAATAAGTGCAGTCATTTAGGTATACGAGACTGAAGTGTCGTTCTCATAATTTTCATGATTTATATATTTATATTATATATATATATATATATTATTGTTATTGCACGAACCCTAAGTTAAGTAATCTCGCAAAAGAGCGTGACGTGGATAACCACTGTTCTGGGTCACGTTACATTTGTTGCACGTCATGGAATATTTATACCGCGGTTTGTCGGTCGTTTTGTCAATGTGGTTTAGCGAGTCTACCATTTATGAGTGAGAGAGAGAGAGAGAGAGAGAGAGAGAGATTAACTAAAACTCTCTCTCTTTATATAAATTCCGATTAGTTCTGCGAAGGAAATAAAGAATCAGTTAAAATACGTTTGGAGTTAACATAAAATACGGAATAATTAACAAAATTCTATTCACAGATGAAATATAAATCAGTTTTAAATTTTGTTAAAAAGAGAACCGAAAGATTAAATTTGTTATGAATAAAAAATTCGTTTGCTATACATATTTATGTAACTATGCATTTAAACGTAATTACTGTTTTGTAAATGAATGTTTTGCATTTTCTAGTATATTACGGTCTCGTACCATTTATAGGAGCAATTTGAGAGTCGTGTAAAACCGTATTAATTAAAAATTACATTTCTTTCAGAGGCTTTTCGCCAAAGAGAACTCGTATTTCCGCGGTGTTAATTTATGCATTCTTCTGAATTAATAAGAACGTCGCGTAGCAATATGAACGTCGCAGTAATGTGAAATAGACCGTTTGTTGCAAAATGCGTGGAAAAGGAAAAAGGAACACGACGGTAACGCGTGTAACACGTATGCATACATTTTTGCGCGTGACAGACGAATATTAGATACCCCTTTCTAGCAGAAGCGAAAATTCGCGTAGCTCGTGAATTTTCGCGTGGCTTAACAGAGAGACAGAATTGCGAAGCCTGACTTCTGCTCGATTAGAGTGGAAGGGGGGAGGGAGAGAGAGAGAGAGAGATATGATAATGTCTCTTCGCTCGATACTCGAGGCTTGATTCGCGACGCGGTTGAATCTGTTCATGTGACAGAGTTTTTAATGTCTCGTCATCTGAAAGAAAGAGAGAAACGACGAAAGATGTGGACGCTTTTATAAATAGAGCTCCGTAGACAATTCATTCGCGTTAATGTACAAGCGCGCGAGTCGGATTTGTGGTTTCTATTGTTCCGCCTTCTCGATAATTCCACTCTCCCGCGTCCTGTCGCACGCAGGATAGATATTATGTTATAATGCCGCACCATATTATGGTATAATATTTTGCGTGTAATTATCAGTAATCCTTCACGAGAACCGTAAATAATCAATATTTTAACATTTAATTTTTTTTCTAAAAAGAAACTCGGCCTTTTTTTTGTCGGAACATAAAATTAACGTTTTATTCTGAGTAACTAATGATGTAAATATTTCCTGAATATAAAAATTTTTGATGCATCGAAACACTTTAATATTCATGAGATCGATTAATGTATGTACACGCCGTTGACCTTTGTACAAGTTTGCTTATACAGTCGCCGATGCAGTACGACAACTGTAATGTGGAAAGACGTGAGAAAAACGCATATGTGCAACATTGATGTTTCGTTACTCCACTATCAATGTTAATCGCGGCAGGCGATCTTTTTAATATTAAAAATGCATCTCTTCTATTTTTCGTGCAAGACACTGCAACCAAATGGTCCTCTTTTCAGCACGATCTACTCGGTTTTTCAATCTTGTCCCCATTGGGAATAAGAAACTTTTACGACAAGTCATTCATTTCAAAAAAGCTGAGTAAAGAACTGGCCGAGGTAATCTTGCTTTATCTTTTAAAACGACCACTCTTTCTGCAACTATTAAATGTTGAAAGTGCAGATGGTAACTACGATGAGAATATTATTATCCATGTAACATAAAACTTGTTTACTAAAAAGAAACAAAAATATTTTACTTAATTACACGTAAATTATTGTAAATTAAATAATGACTGTTTTTTTTTTTTTTTTTTTTTTAATAAAAGACAAAACACGAAATAAAAATGTCCGATTTATATAAGCGCAGAATTAGAGATCTTGAACCAACATTCCATTTAAATGATTTGTTAATTTTCACATCATTCTCTAAAATGTTTTATTCAGAGGAATGCATTTAATAACAGATGTTCTTATCGATCCTATTTCGCAAATAAGCTTCTCGATCGCAGACGGATTTTCGTGCGCATTATAGGATGGGATTATTACTCCGTGGTTCTCCAGTGGTTAGAATTGCAAATGCTTCTGGCCGCGTCAAATATTTGATAATCTCCGCACGATAACTGATCTATCTATTTATTGTCGGTGATTCATCTGAGGTTCAATTGAATTCTCTCATTGACGACCATTTCGGAAATGAAATCAAATTATCCATCCATGTTAGAAACATGATGTCATCGACACATTATTGTATTACATACAATAGTTAAAACTGGGTTTCTGCCTCGCGACGCGTGAGCAACAATCCTCAATTTGAATGAGAAAAGCGACATATTTTATCGCGTTGATCTCTCAAGAGCCTCAAGTAACGAGTAACGAGTCGGTGTCGCAATCGCGGCGCGATCTCTGACTCCCAAGTCTCGGCTCCAATGTCAATCCTGGAAATGTCCAGGTGACAACGAGAGTCTTCCACGAAGCAAGGACCAATGCTCTAGGCACGCCGAAAAGCGATGCAGCGCCGCAACCGCCTACGCTGCCCTTCAGGGTAGCGAGGACGAGCTCGTGGCCGAGCAGAGTCTCGAGGCGGAAGACACCGCGTTGAAGACGCCCGGCAGTGAGACCGAGGACACCGAAGACAACGGCGCGAATGCGGAGGAATCGCATTCACCCGCGCATCGTTTCACTTTCTTACGTCGCTTCCGTTCACCACGCTTCGGCGAGGCGCACCACAAGCGGGTGCCGACGCCCATGAAGCGGAAATACCGTCGTAAAAAGAGCAAGGAGGACATCATTGATAATGACGTGGCTGGCGCCGAGGAGGAACCGCCGAGTCCTGATCAGACCGGCATGCCCGATCCTTACTACCCGATCTATTTGCCGATCGATCAAGCCTTCAAGGCCAAGTACGTGTTCCATCATAAGAGGGGCAAGACTTTTCAGGAGCGCCTCTACGTATTCCTCGAACATCCCGGTGGTTGGCTGTGTTTTGTCTACCATTTCGCTGTGTGAGTATTCACTTCTGTTCGAGCAGAACGACATTATTTCTTACTATCCTGCAATTAACACGTTTTCTGATATTTCTTACGAACCATTTGTAGAAACACCAATTTACAATTGCTCGAAGACTTTAGCAGAGTACACACATTTGTTCGCTATCAAGAACTAAACATTACTTAGAAAACGGGGATATAAGATACTGCGTCAGAGCTGACTCCTCCTGTTTCCGTTTTCTTCGTGTAGCATCGATTTTGGCATCGCGTTGTGGCCTTTGACACCTGGCGTGCCCCAAATCCTCGACAACGTCGAGGACTTCTCCCGTCTGTAATCGAACACTTGCTCGAATCAGTCTGTTTATCGGACGCAATCTTTGATTTTTGATCGGAAAACAGATACCTCGCACATAGGACTTTATTGCTCATCATTGGCCTGATTCGAAAAGCGATATAACAAACGATATAACGCCGACGATCGAATATAACTTGAGAATATTCAACTTTGAGAGTGTCAATAAAATATTTTATTCTCTCAAGACAACTGATATCAACTTCTATATTTCCATCGTCGACACGAGGAATTTGCATTTTAACTAACTGTTTATATAAGCAACAAGATTTTATAACTTGAATTATTAACTGCTCCTTTTGCATCTTACAGAAGTTGGTTGAAATGTTACGTGGTAGTATGTTATGTAGCATTTTTATCAGTGAAAAGGCTGCTATAATTTTTAAATTTTTACTATAGATTTACTGATTTCTTGTAATTTTAAAAGTACTTTAATGTCTATAATACTCTCAACTTATTACACACTATCTTTATTAAATGGTTATTAATTTCATCTTTGTAGAAGTGATAATTTATTAAAAGTATCTTACTATATAATATAGAATAGCGAACCACATGATAGTTTATTAGTTATGTGAGACCAATTGCTACGAGAAAACTTTTAGATCGAGTGTAATAAATTACTTTATTCTTTTGCATTCTTTCGATAAAAATAGGTTCACTTGAGATATGCATATTTTTACGTAGTTTTATAAATTTAATTTCATAATGTATTCTGTTGAAAAATGCAAACAAGTTTGAAATTTCTTGAAAAGCAGAATATGAAAGAAAGAGTACTACACAATATTTTGCTTTTTTTTTTGCATTTAAGTATTCTGAGAACGTATACATACATAGATATATTTGTGACTGTATATGAAAATGTGTTTTTATTGTGATGCTAGAATAAGACGGTAAAACCGATTAATTTTGTCAGTAAGTTCTCCTCGAAAATAATATTTACGCTTCTATTTTCATGCGTTAAAAATATTTACAGTGCTTCGAAAATATCCTCATTACTTTTTATCTCTATATTTTTGTTCCACCATTGTTTTAGAAAATTATATCAATTGTTAGAGGATTTCTATTATATGATATCTTAACGGAAAAGCAGAAAAAGAAACTTTTTTTATGTAAAAAATTTAATAACAGCAGAAGAACCAATTAAAGTCAATTGCAATCTATTATATCATATTGTACTTCGTCGTATCATGTCCTATTTAGTTATCTTTATTTGTTTAGTCATCAATTTGGTGGATTTCTTTCGACTTTTATATTTTTTTTACACTATATAAGTGTGTATTCATGTAAGAAAATTAAAATAGTCTTAGGATATTAATAAACAGCATACATTTATTATGCTTTGGCTTCATGTCATGTAAACGTATACATTGGCTGGCGAAGTACATCTATTGCTCCGGGAGGCATCATCCACTGAAAAATTTCGCGGATTCGTGCATTATTCAATAGACTGTTTTTCATTTCTTTCAAACTGTCGCCAAGCACCGCAGCCTTTTAAATAATTCATTATCAAAACAAAACGCGGCAATGTATCCGTGAAGCAAATCGATCGTCGCACGAATACATATAGTAAGTTTTCTCGCTTTTTTTTATCTTGTCGATACTTTCCGTTTAAGTTTGAACGCGAATGATAGAGTGTGAAAAATTGAAGCCATTAGTCCTTTTTTTTTGTTTTATATCATACACACAATATTATACAGTACTCTGTCATTGATATTTTAACTCATGTGGACTCCTCGTGTATTATTTTTTAACATCAAAGCCTTTGGACTTGATTCTTTTTTATAGTAAAAATAATAACAATCAAAGATATCTATAATGTGCAAAAAGTGAAACACTTTGTATGCTTATAAATTACAACATTTTTATCAGAATTACTATATTTCTTATGCAGTTGAAATCGAATTCAGGATATCTCCTCGTTGTGTGAAATAGCCGTACGTGTGATAAATGTCTACTTAAAGTTGGTTAATACGAACTTGCACAATTTTCTCGAAATATTATAACCGAGTTTACTTGAGATAAATGTGTTAATAACAGATACGTTAAAATTCTTTTGCACGTCTTATCGCAACACGCGCGGGATTTCTTGATAATATGTCGCTATTTTTGACGACGCAAAAGTTGTAAAACGCTACACTCGGAAATTGCCACGGAAGCGTCTTTCATTTTGTACTCAAGGTACTACCATTATGTCGAACACGCCATTCATTTCTGGAAACATATATCTATTTTTCCTGCATACTGAAAATATCCGTATAATTTGTTTTTACAACTATTTACCGAACAGCTGTATATTTTTCTTTTTGCGTCTGCTTTATGTTTTAATATCTTAATTTTAAAAGTATGGTTAAGTTTATTAAAACAGTTATCTGGCGATTATACTCTGCAAAGATTTTTAAAATCCTTTTAGCCATGCTACACACACGCACTTATATATTACAATTTTTATCTTTTGAAAACATTTTTTGTCGATCAATAGCTTTGAAGTGTGTATGCTTGTAGATTCCATCGGTATTGAAAAATAATTTTGCGAAGTATCGCTGCATTTCACACTAACGTTTTCACATACGTTACAAAATCTTCACGAAATATAAATTTATAGTTTATAATCCTTTCTCTAAAAATTATAGCAATATGAAGATACAAATTTTCAAATTTTTTGTTAACTTGTCGACCATATACGATTGTTACATAATCATAGCGAAAAATGTGGTCTTCGTGTGACTTTAATGTAGCGTCGTTTATACAATCGTTAGATAGCCGACTAATGAAGTTGCGCTGCACGAAACGCCGCTGTAAATATTTAATTGCTCGAGTAATCCTATATCGATTGGCGTTACAGTACCTGTTATTATCTCTTATCGTACTATTACTAACCTGATGTTAATATGATCGGGGAGGGAGGATAATAGCAAGCAAACGGGATAAGAGTCATTCAATCTCAAGAGAGACTCTGTTGCAATATGAGGAATCTTATACCCATTAGCTCTATATTAAATTGAAGCTGAAAATATAATAAATAAATTACACTTACTAAATTTACAATTTTCATTTTGTTATTATTTTAATTACTGTACAATAAAATAATATTAAATTTTTAGAAATATATTAAATCGAAAAGAATTTAAGAGAAATCTATCATTAACATTACATCATGTTAAAATGGTTTTACATTAATTTAATTTAAATCTTTAATCTTAGCTTTCATCATTGCAGTATTAAAATATGAGTAACTTTTTCTGAAAAATGCAATTATCAGTTTGTGAGTTTGAAAACGTCAGTTAAATGTGACGTAAGCGTATTATCTTGTACGTGGTGTGGTGGTGTTAAACGATAAAAGAAATTTGCTCTGTTAATAGAGGTAATTCTAATTCGACTGGCCTACTTTCAAACGGGCGTAAATGGCAGCATGTTGTTAGGCCCAATGCATATGCAAGCTATTTGCGTGTGGTCTGTTATTTTTAGATGAGAATCGCACGCGCGCAAACTGATATATCGATATCGCGCATATAATGATGCCCATGGAGATTATACATCGTGCCGTGGAAGGTCATTACTAAATTTTTCAATAATTTAAACGCGACTAGAAAGCGCGAATCTGAGAATGGAATCAAGCGATCAGGAAATCACAACCAATTTGTGTAGATGCACGTAAATCGATAAATGAAACATCGGACGTGCGCGATTTCTTTACAATAATATGAAGTACAGGGCATAATTTCACAAAGTTGCATAAACGGTCAGGCACGAGCTGATTTTCAGTAAAAAAAAATTATCTTATCATCTCGGCGAAATGTTACCTTTAACCTTTCCATTTTTCCAATTTGTCGGGAATGACAGGAGAATTACGTATACCCATCCATCACGCGTGATAAAAAAAATATTTTATTATTTATTCTCTTTATCAATGAATTACAATTACATTCTTTCTCAATTAATTTTGTTTTATTAGAGATACAGTACAGCACGCGTAAATGTAATTTCCGTAAAAATGATTAATGCGTAAATACTTATCTGCGCGCACATATCGAGCGGTTCACGCGATCAGAGAAGTTTACGTTATTCCGAGCCCTCGGAGATCCATTTGTAATTAAACCGCGGATATGAATAAATGATGCGACATAACGTGACATTATTGCTGTAGGAGTCATACACGCACATTCTATCTTCCTTCGATCGCATGTAGGTTAATTGATATACAAGGGATGTACACGCTCAATCATTTTATATATATTTAGCCATAAGTGATATCGTGCCGTCCATTGACATGTGTAAGTGTTAATATTGATAATTATAGATTTTGACATAGCTTTTCAATTTAATTCTACAAAATATCCTATAATAAATTCGGTTTTTTTTTTTCTGAGATATTATTTCTTGGTATGTGAAGCCTTTTCAAACGATTAAATGTACGATGTGTTTACTTTTTATAAAAATCAAGTATTTTCAAAGAAAATCTCTTTCTATTAATAATACTTCGAGAATTAAAAATATTTTCAGAGAATTTTGTCATAATTCGAAGATTTTTATGTTTAAATTATTTCTCCTAAAGATTTTATTTTTCTCGCAAATAGAGAGATAAGTCTTGTTTAAAATTTTAGATTTTCAGATAAGTTCGGTTTAAATTTAGGAATAAGCTTTATTTTATTTTAAAAGATTTTTTTCTTTTAAATGCTTTTTTTATAGTTATTTTATCTTTCGTTGTTTTTCTTGGAAGTTGAAGAATGAAATGTTTATGCGTGATAGTGTTTATTTTATTAAAGTTCTTTATTTTTCTCAATATTTCTTCTAGCTGGATGAATAACTTTTGATTTTTTTGTTTATAATCGTGAAGACAAGACCAAAAATCCGGATGATAATTACATCTATTTTAAATTTGCATTTAAAAAAATATTCCAATTTATTTCTAAATATTTGAATATTTAGAATATATTTGAAAAAATAAGCAATTATCAGATAATTTCTTCCATGATATGTATTGGTAAATGCTCTGAAATGAAATATATCTGCTTTACTATACAATGCAATATAAAATAATATAAAACAATTTAGAAATGAAATTAAAAAAATCAATTACATGAAACGAATAAGGGGTTTTTTAGTTCGGTGATACGTTGAATTGTTACTTTCCGTATTATTCAACGGACATTCCCGTGACTTTGGCATTTCCACGGCCAAACAAAAAGCGTGTTATCCGCGAGTAGCGAGATGTCCGACGCTTGACGGAAGATGGATGAGTTCCTAGCGATGCTCGGGGAAAAAAGGAAGAATATGTTAGACAATTATCATAGTAGGTCGATGAAGGTGACCCGTGTAGCCACGAAGTGCTGTACATACGTCGGAATTATAGGCTCTTGACACGCCATCTTAAAGAGCCACACGACGGAGGCCGCACGCTTTCGTTAATGCCGCGCACTCGTCCCGTTGCTTAACGAGGTAACGCTCAATAATAAATTACTTGTACAAACAACGAAAGTGTCGATCGATTGTGAGATCGTAGCAATTACCGGCCCGTTCATGCCCCCGCATACGCGGGGTTTGTTTTGCTGTCTCACGTCGTTTTATCTTTTTTTTCTACATCGTTAGTTCGTGCGATGCATAGCATCGATAAGTAGCATCGATTAAGATTCACAATAAGGATTTTAAAAATTGTGGCCGAGAAGATGAAACGTGAATTTTTCCACTGTAAAAGTTAACGTGCAAGTGAATCTTGGTACATACATGTATATCGTAATTCTTCTCACGAACACATTTGCGAAACTACATTTATAATCGGAATTCGATATTATGCGCGACCTTAAATCTTGTTGCACTGAGATTATATTTTATTATTAAACATACGAAAGTACACAACATAGTTAATACATATGTAACAGCATATGTAACATACATCAAAGCATATTTGTTATTTAAAAACAAGGGTCTCTAGAGATTCATAAAAAGTTAAAATTCATAAAAAGTTAATGTTCATAAAAAGTTAAGATTCATAAAAAGTTAAAATTCATAAAAAATTATAAAAAATATAGAATTTATTGCTCATATAAGAAACACTATTTATTGAAATATCTTTTTAGTATTGAATTGACTCTTTCATTAAACCGTCTAATATTGTATTTGTAGATGCATTTTCATGAAAAATTATCTTTTATATTTATTCATAATAGAAAGTTTCTTTGATTCAGAATTTATATTATTTTATAATTGTGTATGTACACAATTAACATAATAATCAATGAATTTAAAGTATATTATAATGTATTAGAAAATAGATGTGTTAATAATAATATTGAAAAATATCAAATATTTTTCTCCTTCTATACATATATATAGCATTTTAATATTAAATTTCTAATCAATTTTATTAGTTTGTAAAAAAATTATGATTTTCACTGTTTTTACAGTGAATTTAGACAAGATAATAGCAAAGTAATTACGGATACATTGTCTATGAATATTTTTACATTCAATCGTCGTGGAATATAAGCGACCCTAATCGATAGACACCACGGGCGGTTTTATGTGTATGTATATATACTTGATAATGTTCTTTTACAAATTTAAGTAATTTCCAATAATCTTTAGTTAATATTAACAATAAACAAAGTTAATAACTCCTTATATTCTAAAAATCACAATATCCTTGAGGCAATAGGAGTCCACAAATTTAAGTATAAAGTTACACTTTGTAGTTAGTAATGTAGAGTATATGTCTAGTATCACGTCTGTATAGTTTATCAAGTAATTTGTCAGTTTGACTTAAGTGACACAGTAGTTTAATGAATAGTTTATTCTGAGGAAGAATTTGAAAGCTTAGTAGTACTTTTATTATTCAGAGTTGGAATTAACAATAAGATAAGAGTTTTTGCTGATGCAGAAACTGATACATCATACATAGTCATTATATAATATATAGTCAAGATATACATACATATGTATATATATTGTATTTAATGTGCAATTTGTGTCATATTTCAATTATTGAATATTTGTTGCGTTATAATATGTTAAATTTGTTGCATAATATCGGTTTAAGCGTATTATAATTGACAATAGTATTGTAATTATCAGAGAAGTTTAATACTGATCTAGTTTATCATTAATGAAAATTTATTATATAAATTGTACATTACGCGCAAATGTATAATATACTTAAAAATTATAACTTAAAACACGTAACAATGATACAAACTTTCAGTTTTTAAAAAGTACAATAAATAAAGGAATTCAAGGCTAATAGGAGTAGACGCGGGTAGATAAGTGCAAGTATAATGTCATAAACTTTTTTTACTTTACGAGAAAATTGACTCTTAAAATTATCGTATCTTTTTCATTTTGTTTCTTATTTTGCTGAGATTGTTTTTAATACTATATGTTACCATGATTGTATCTCTTTCAAGTATTTATATTGTACAATATCATCGTCAAAAATGAATAAAATTTAAATTTAAAAAAAGGTTTTAAAGCTTGAAATCTCTACTTTCAATAGATTATATATATATACATATCATTTTTTAGTTTATATGAATTTGGTAATATTTACATAGAGAAAACTACAAGCTTAAAAAAAAGGGAAATTTTTTTCACTTTGTGAGTCTGTTAGGTACCAAAAAAGAATTTGTAAAAAATGTCAATTATTTAACGTGAAAGCTTAAAGTTTTTTCTAAAAATTTAGTTTTTAAAAAATGTTCCTACGATGTTTTGTTCGTCAGTTATTCGCGAGTTACCTAAATAAAGGAACATTTTGATTTTAATTGCTCATAACTCCGTTAAAAATCATCATTCATAGAATGGCACAATCGCTAATTTTTTAAATGTACAATATACAATTTTGAGCTAATAAAATATCGTAAAACTTTTCCTCTAACCCAATACAAAAATTAAATTCCGTTATATAAAGATTTAAAACTGGAAAAATGCAATAGTTTAGAAGCATCCACTTTTTTAGCGATTAAGCGTAATCAATAAGTAAACGTCTCAACAAAATATCTAAAGATATATATATATATATATATTTAAAAATATATTTTTTTTAATAGTACGAAAATTATTAACCGAAAGCTGAAAAGAATGGCAGTTTAATTTAATAAGAATCTAAAGAATTATATTTTGTAAATGTACATCGAATTGTAACATACGACAGCCCACGCTTTTATTATAATAAATCAAATCGTTAGAAGGTGAAACTTTATGATAGAATCAAGTTTTGATTCTGTATTTGTCGTGTGATAGAGAATTAGATCAAGACCCTGAAGTCGCTTTAGATGTAAATCTGATTTTAATATACATACATGACAGCCCACGCTTCTAATAAATCAATCTAATCAATCATTTATCTGATTGGAATTTTATAACTGTACTAGATTCCAATTGAGATTTGCCATATACATATATCATTATATATCTTTGTTTCAGGTTCATGGTGGTATTGGTGTGCCTCATATTTAGCGTTTTGTCAACGATAGATCAATACAGTAACTTCGCAAATGAAACTCTGTTTTGGATGGTGAGTGGCTCGTGTTTCATTATTAAGTACAATAATATATAGCGTATAACTGGATAGAATATTAAAAGCATCTCTGCATCGAATAATGTCAATAGCACTATTTAAAGAATTTCTGCAGGACTGCTAAATTAAAAATGTTTTATCGTAATCGCATTGATTTTTTCTTTGCATCAATGCAACGGAAAACACATACATTTGATGTATGTACAGCTCAAACGAATCATCTTTTGTCTAAGAGTTCTTTGATAACGTAGAACTCTTTAAATATCGAAACAAATTTTACCCTTTATTTATTCTAATTTGAGGATATTTTTTTATACTTAATATCTATATAGTCTTTGTGCATATATATTGGAGTTAAAAGCTCGATACAAATATTGATTCAAGCGTTCTGCAAATTATATGTTTTTATTTTTGTAATAGAATTTCAATTATGTATCTCTGTTATCTTTGCTGTATATTTCTGTCTATTCTACTCGTACATATTTGTCTATTCAAGTTTAAAATCTAACTTAATGTTTCGTCTCGAGGAAAGAATTACGTGTATCTCATAGAATATTATCATCTTATATTATACCTATCATTGTACTTTCCAACCATGAAATGTTAAACACCGACAGTGATTAGGAATTCATAAACAAGAGTTTTGTAACGTTCTGTAAGAAAGTTAAAGCAAACCTCATTTAATTAGTCTTCGAAAAGAACACTTTAAATTTGTTGGTTCGCCCGAGAATAGACTTTACGACAGTTCTCGACGAAAAACTTTTTCTCTTCTTTCATCACCGTCGAAGTTGCACAAATAAAATTAATCCTTCCTCTCGTCTCTTATCATTTAAAGAGGAAAAACTCTGTGAAAGTTTACATGCCAAATTACGCAAACTATCGTCAGTACAAAACCAATATCGTTTATAAATCGGTATTCAATATTGTAAAAAATCTTTGCTCGCGATTCTTTCTCACACCTTTTCCCACGCGAACATGAAGAAAATAAACGTGCATAAAACACGAAGCTCGTCAAATGTTCTGGATCATAAAAGAATATGGTATAAGCCAGTTCTCAAGGATCTCGCCCACTTTGTTGCAGTTCTAACATCGACATCCTCGTTTTTCTAGGGCATCCCCTTAATACAACAGCGTTAGTACGATCGATAGTCAACTATTCAAGTGTTACCAGATTCGTTATATATTCATTTTACAGATGAATTAGTTATAACATCTATGTGTGTATGTATGTGTGTATGTTAATCTACAGAATTATTCCATTATATTTCCTCATCAACGTTAGATATATAATTACCGATTCTTTCACGGTTGTTATGAATTCAGTTAGGTCGGTATTCATAGTCAATTCTTATATTTAAAATCATCTTAAGTACAGTCTTGAGATGTTATAAGCCGAGGTGTTGTAAAGCCGTATAGTATTAGGTGTAAAAATTAGTTCGATCCGTTTTTTTGTGTTCAAAAATACATTTATTTCAAAACAAAATGAATCAATAGATTAATTAAAGTATTGTCCATCGCTGGCTACTACCTTTTCCCATCTCTCAGGCAATTTTCGAATTCCATCTCGAAAACATGACTCGTCTTTGGAGGCGATCATCTTTTGGAAAACGGACCGAATTTGTACTCCTAATATCTTGAGACATTTACTTAAGACAATCTTAAATTAAGAATCGATTATCATTCAGTATCAAGTTAAACAGTTGAGAGGTAACTTACATTTTATTATTGTTTAGGAAATATGTCTCGTGGTATTCTTCGGAGTTGAATATCTAGTTAGACTATGGAGCGCGGGTTGCAGGTCGAAGTATATGGGCTGTTGTGGACGGCTACGATTCATACGGAAACCGATTTGTATCATAGGTAAGTTGTTGCTCGTTAACTATGAGTTACGACATGGCCAAAGCGTAACATATGCAAAGCTAATCTGATATTTGCATTGTCCGATCGACACAAACAGGATCTTGACAATCGTCTCTTTGTTTTGTATCGTTTGTATAGGATCGTTGTAATCGTCGCTACTGGCTAACTTTGTGATATTAAACTCTGACCTTAATATCGAATCCATTTTACTAAAATCAAGATTACGGGCGCTTTGTATCGTAGCCATCGTTTTGTTGGACGCATTCTACAAATGAAACACATGTGTACAGCGAAATAATTGAAGACTCGCCTAAAATTGATTACCTGGCCTCTATATTTCGCAAACTTTGTAATTACGTTGACGACAAATATGTGATTGAAGGCTTAACAGAGTAAATAAAAACAGAAAAAATAAAACAAACGCATTTATTTTTTTTTCCAATATTATCTAAAAAGTAAATTGCTGCTCAAATCAATTCAAAATTTTTACGTGTATTTAATTATCTATATGTTTGTTCAGAACAAGATTTCCACCATCTAAATTTTCCCATCATTCTCTAATAGTCATGTGTATTCGTGTATCTGCAATTTGCAGATTATTTTGTAAATTAATTTGTGAATTAGTTGTGTTTTTCTGGAATTTATTTTACGCTGTTTATTGTTAGCTGCGTGGAAAATAGTATCTGCCGGATTACTTTGTTTTTTTTATTCCATGCGTACCTCTTCTCCAACAGTTATCTCAAATAATTGGGAATGTATCATATTTTACTTCATTTAGTCTGTAAGAGTAGAATAGTATAAATTGTTCGCAATATAGAAAATGGAGCATTATTATTAACAGACCAGCCGCGGAATTGCGACTGAGATTACACCTATTCTAGCAATTTAGTAGCGCGTGATGGAAAGAGAAATGTTTTTAATCATTAACAATGTACATCGTCAACGTATTTTGCTGATAAATATAAAGTAACGTCGAATAAGGTATTAATCGAATTACACACTTTGCATTTATTGCTGCCAATTATATGCATACTTAAACACTATCAAAAAATATTTATTTTAATACATGCATATATATATATATATATATGTATATACACACACACAGAATAAATATGTATATTTTGTAAATGACTGCGTATAATAAATAAATATTGTATGTGTATGTATATTATATTATATTTTATTTTTAATCGATACAACATATAAAAGTTACACTGTTTATAACGATACACATATAGTTGTAGATACGTTCGAATTTATCACGAGTATGTTTTTTTGTATTCATCATAAGGTATTTTTTTCTCTTTTCTTCTTTTCAGATTTAATTGTCGTAGTAGCGTCCATGGTAGTCTTGTCGGTAGGAAGCAATGGTCAAGTATTCGCCACTTCCGCCATCAGAGGCATTCGGTTTTTGCAAATTCTGCGAATGCTTCACGTCGATCGTCAAGGTGGCACGTGGCGACTTCTAGGTTCAGTGGTTTTCATACATCGTCAGGTATATCATTAATTATCTATCGCTAAAATATCTCAAAAATTGCCAAAATACACAAGAAGTTGATCTTAGCAATGATTTTAACTCGTAATCTGTAAACAAACAAGTGTATGAACACCTCCATGTATGGGGATGGAAATATGTAACAATTTCTACATTTTTTTACGTACATTTTGTAAAAAAATATATACATACATACATGAAATTTTAATGTTAATAATTGCAAAATATTTTCATTTTTCTTATTTAACAGGAGTTGATTACAACACTATACATTGGGTTCCTAGGCCTCATTTTCAGCAGCTATTTCGTATATCTTGCCGAAAAAGATGCAGTTGGACCTGACGGCAAAACAGACTTCGCGAGTTACGCCGATGCACTTTGGTGGGGAGTGGTGAGTGTCTATCTTGTGCTACTGATTATTTTAACGAATTATATTTTCTGTAACATCTTCCTATATCATATATATAATTTATTTGTAATTTTAGTAAAAATGTAAAAGAAAAAAAATGTAGGCTTCCAAATAACTCGTACGAATTGAGTATACATTTAATTTCTGTTTTGTTGTTGTATTTTTTAATTATAAATCTTTCTACGCTAACACAAATTATTCTTATCTTGCTACACTCTTCATTATATAATTATTAATCTATATATTTTACTTGATAATTAAAAAATTAATATGGGCAGATTTTGGATTAATTCCTGCCAAATCATTAAAAGTGCAGTTTAATAAAAACGAAATCAATTATATGAAAAAAAAAACTATTTAAAAACAAATGTGTGATTAATTAATCACATGTAAAAATCATGGAAATAATTCAAGAGCGATAATATAATCACGTATTATTTTAAAAATAACAATTTTAATGATTCGCGCGCGCGCACAATTTATTGTATGGCTGATGGCAGAGAACAAAACATAACTGTCATAATTGTGGATTTAAGGTGAGGTAGTGAAAAATATATGTGTAACCGTAACACAATAGCTTTTTATATTTACGTATAAGTTTTTCTCTGTCTAACCTTATGTTCACGACTACGACAGTTACATGCCGTTTTCTACCAAAGATACTCATAAAGAATGAACGGCGCGATCTTATAGTAGTATTCAAATGTGGTTGACAATAATGAGAGAGAGGGATCGTGGAAGACGGCTCTTCTTTTTTACTTTCATCGACTATTTTGACACATAAATCGCACAGTCTATTTTTTATATCTTATTTTCTAATATCAGCCTAATAACAACAATGTACATTTCAACGAACGAAGCGATCTGAACGATATTAATGCTCGTATCGCGTTGATGCAAATTGCATCGATAACGATATTTATAGACAGCATAAATTACTTATTGGGCCATAATATATGTTAATTAATAGGTATAATTAATTATATTTCGAGTTAAATTGATCACAAATGATATCAACGGCGTGTCATGCGGTAAAACTGTCCACATTAAATTTATTGTCAATATTATTATGAACGTGACGTTGTGTGTACAGTATAATTCCATGTGTATTAGGAGTATTTGTTCGATGTATTACAGATCACAGTAACAACGATAGGTTACGGTGATACAGTCCCGCAAACATGGATGGGAAAAATAGTGGCGTCGTGTTTCAGCGTGTTCGCCATATCCTTTTTCGCACTTCCAGCAGTAAGTATATATTACTATAAAGAATTTTTCTCTTTTCTTTTCGTAATATACAGAAAATGTTTTTTGTACTAACAGTTACTTCTCGTTTATAGATTCTTTGACTAATATATCGAATTAATCTCTCGTAACTAGTATCTTTGCATATCGAACCACAAATTTGAACTTGATCAAAATTGATTTAAAATTAAAAAATATAATTTTTATATATATATTTGTTAAATTTGTTTCTTTTCAAATTTAAATTTTCATCGTTTGTGACGCGTGAGCTAGTTTTACAACATATTTATAAAAGAAACATTAACCGAAGAACTCAAACTACAATTTTTTATTTGTAACAAACTGTCCGTCTCTCCACGAGAAATCCAAACAATTGAGCGCGACCGTACTGTTATCGTGCCTCGTGAATTGGTGTTTTCGGATTTCTTTTTCAGGGTATTTTGGGTTCCGGTTTCGCACTGAAGGTACAACAGAAGCAACGGCAAAAGCACTTCAATCGGCAAATACCAGCTGCCGCGATGTTGATACAGTGTTTGTGGAGGTGTTACGCCGCCGATAAGGCCATCAATAGTGTCGCTACGTGGAATATCTACATCAAGGACCCGTCGCCGGCCGGTCAACCGTCGACGCCCTTGGGCAAGGTAACGTTTCCTTTTGCTAGTTTAGCGAAAATCGAAGCGTAGTAGCCGTATTTAGCTGTTTTTGACTGTTGGTGTTCCTAGCTGCTTACACAATGTTCTTAAACGTTCTCGTGCCGCGAGCGATTACTATATGTCACGACAGATGTTAATCCGTCGCGAATCTCGTAATCTCCTTATTGAAACACGCGCGTAAAATATACTTCTTTCTCCAACCTCTTCTCCCGTCTAATCTTGTTTGCGATTCGGTCGATGCGCGCGCACAGTCGAGAACACTAATGGATCTGGAATTACCCGTGATATCGTATCCCCGTTAATTGTTGCCACGATCTCTCGACTTTTATCGCGATTGCATGTCCACGTGCAAGTGGATTGTCAACTAATACCGTCGAGTCGCGGGGGACTTTGTCGTTATGCTCTAAGCGGATTGTGAAAAATCAAATTTGTCTTGTGTCGATCTATCGCACAAATAAACGTGAAATAAATGAGACTTGAACATTTAATAGCATAAACGTGAGACAATAAAAATTGTTTTTTTTTAAATTAATAACTTTTAAATTATTAAATGTTCTATTAAAAGTGAGTTATTATTATTATATACATTGAATGATGATATTCGTAGACTCGTAAGATTTAAAATCATAGAAAGTGACAATGCCTAATCGAGTCATTGTAACAGGATATTAATGTTAATTATAATTGTGTGAAATTATGTACCGCGTATGTAGTCCTCTTCGCGACGCTGATGGATTTTCAGCATTGACGCATACGTATTAACTACCGCGGTAATATCACTTTAGTTAAATTGACACTACAATCTAACAGATTTTGATGCTATAGCATCTTAATTAGATCTTAATAATATGTTGAAAGACATATATTACTATTTAATAATGAAATAATGATAATTTTAAATCTGTGAAAATCTGTGAAAATAATAAGACTGCGAAGAATATCACAAGTTGGCGTTTCGTCCCGGTTTCCATTACTGGACTCATCAGTAAGGCATTGTAATGGAAACCTACCTTAGACGCCTTGGGGAGATGTTAGAAAAAAGTTCTATATAAACAATCACTCATATAATTCAGCACTTGCGAGAATCGAAATGAGTAACTATAGACCTCTGTTGGCTAGTCGACGTAGTGATATTCTTCACATTGTTGTTAATATTTAAATATGTAATAGCGCATTTTTCAGGCCGCGTGATATGAATATATATATTGAATGATGATATTCGTAGACTCGTAAGATTTAAAATCATAGAAAGTGACAATGCCTACTTGTGGGAAACGCCAACTTGTGATATTCTTCGCAGTCTTATTATTTTCACAGATTTTCACAGATTTAAAATTATCATTATTTCATTATTAAATAGTAATATATGTCTTTCAACATATTATTAAGATCTAATTAAGATGCTATAGCATCAAAATCTGTTAGATTGTAGTGTCAATTTAACTAAAGTGATATTACCGCGGTAGTTAATACGTATGCGTCAATGCTGAAAATCCATCAGCGTCGCGAAGAGGACTACATACGCGGTACATAATTTCACACAATTATAATTAACATTAATATCCTGTTACAATGACTCGATTAGGCATTGTCACTTTCTATTATTATTATGTATAATCGAATCCAAAGATTAAACAAATCCCAATGAGATAAAGATTTTTCATTCTTCATTAAAAGTAATGAAACATTTTTAACTACAGTTATAATTGGATTGATGTTTTTAATTAGTTTTTGAATTGTTTTAAGTAAATTATACTAATCAGTACTTAATTATCAAATCTTAAATATACACAGAAATAGCAGATTATCAAGAAAATGAGACCATCATATTTGTTAAATTAAAAATTGAGATTAAATTTATTTGTTCACATTTAGATCCAAAAGACTTGCTAAATTTTACGCATAAGGATGGGATTCGCGAAGGAGTTTCGCTGTCTAATATTATTTTTCATTAATTTACCACTTTAATAAATCCCAGTATTGTATAATAGCGACAGTTATGTGTGACGGTCGTGTACTTTTACTTGTCCGATAATAATTTGGCAGTGGATGGATGCAAGCGGAGAATGCGAATTTCTTGCTCGATGTTCTCAATGTGCCGTTATTTGCCGCTCTGAAATCCGAATAATTTTGTTTTTTCCTTCATGTTGCTAGTCACATACGTGTGTTTATGTAATTAAAAATTTGCTAGAGGCTTCTGTACATTATCCCTCCTTACATACGAAATAATGAAAGTTGCGTTTTCTTTGTTCATTAATTTAATTTGTTAGTTTAATTTTTTTTTATGTAATATTGTACATATCATGGACAATTTATTTTTAACATGTTTGTTAGTGGACTGCTTTTATTCTTTGAATATGTATATACCTTATAATTTCGATAACGTTATTTATTAGTTAAAATGCCGAGCACAGATATCCATTAGGATACTTTAACATTTATGTTCGTTTTTGAATTTTTTTCACATAAAATTGTCACAGTCGATTCCATGAAATGCCAGTCAGCAAACTTGTCATTCGCATAGCCATACATTCGGACTTTATAACTTTATATCTTTATTTTTTTACCGTTGCTGTATGAATTGAAAATGTCATCGTTTCAACAGTGCATCAACTGACCCGTTGTGTTACGTAGATACAAGTTTCATAAAGTCAATCAACAACTTTTCGTCATCAGCGCGTTTCTATCTTTATAACATTGCTTTTTTTTAATTAAATTTATATTTTAGACCGCTTGAAAACTGCAGTAGTTGTCATCCTCAATAAATTGCTTTTAAACGTATCAAATAACGGATGCGGTATTTTTAGAATTGCGCGTTTGATTTTTCCGTATAAGGCTATATTTAATTTCCATTTTACTTGCGATTATTATGGCTAGTTCTATTGTACTTCTGTATCCGTGTATGAAGTTATAAAAACTCGCCATAAAAATTGCTCAATCAATGGGAAATATATGTATAATATATTAGATATTTTTGAGACATATTATGATTACAGCTATACAGTATCAATCTAACAATACATTCAAATCTTGAACAAGAAAGTTTGCAAAAAAGTCGAATGGGATAAAATTGTTTATTATCGGCACACTTCGAGCGTATGCTCAATTAATACGAAACGGTTAGTTTTATATGAATGTCTCCATTTTGCATCTGCTGCCAAAATTTTCAAATTCCGTTTCTTTGAAAACTGCGCAGATACTATACGTACGCACGCGAGCATCGATTTTACAATATTTGAAATAAGAACGCTCAGTGATGATTTAACGATGATAAAATATACCTTAAATATTTCAGTTGATTTGTGTAAAGAAGATGGTATGTAAATGGTTTATATTTATTTTCATTCTTACTCTCTTTTGCATGTTTATTTTTTTCTAAACTTTTTATCAAACACATTTCTTTACACGTTCTGTTACACGACATGAAATGTCTTATTTTTTTATATTATGTAAGTCGGGATCACTGTACTCACCTGCTAAATGTAGAATGTAGCATATTAAAATTATATTTAACATTGCTATCACAAGAACCGTACTCTCTCGCTGCACGCTTAGTTGTAATGAAGATGGTCAATTTTAAGTCGGAGCCTTTGCGCAAATTTGCCATCGTGGTCGCATTTAGTATTTAATCCTCAGAACATAATATTAATTTACGAAACTATCATATACGAGCTTCTCCGAATAATATCAAAAAATAATTGTCATTTTTCTTATTTTAATAAATTATTTTCTATTTAAAAAATATTTTTATTTAATACATTAATCCGAATAATTTAGGATTAAAATCGAGATTTTTTACCTTTTTTTTTTTGTTAACAACCGCTGGAAAGAAATTGACAATTTATTAAATCGTTATTATTCAAAAACTTAGTATGATAAGAAGTCTATGTTGTATTCTGAGGTTTAAATTTGCGCCAAAAGTTTAGATCTGAATATTCGTTGCTATCAAAGATTTTTAATTTTTCGAACGTAAAAAAGAACAAGAAATTTACGAAATTATACGCTTATTAACTTTAATGTTGTACGAATGTCATTTGAATATCAATGCTTTTTCTTTTTAATGTCGAAACTACAAATGCCAATCAAACCGAGATACTGAAAATTTTGTATTTTTAACTAACGAGTCATTTTACCTGCGCGTTCGTACAAGTTACTTTTTGAACGAACGAGGCTCTGCGTAAGCTCCTTAAAGTTTTTGCTCATGAAGAAACAATATATCGTCTATTTAATCATGTTTGCCTATTTCCTGCTTATGTGTGTATTTTTATATTCTATGTATTCTTTTTCTCTAAAGATAGTGTCTCTAAAGATATAGTGATCAATGTCTTGTGGAAAGCAACTTTACTTTACTTAGAGATATTTTGTAACATGCATGAGCCTGAATTACGTACATACAACGTTTCTAGCTTGTTTATATATATATGTATATGTGTATGCCTACACATTACTTCTTGTCTCCGCATCGTAGTCTTCAGAGAAGAAATCTTGCTCGCGAATTCGCGACATAAAAATGGGAATTTACGTCGGTCGTGTGGCTTGACAATTCTCTATATGAAAAATATACGGTATTACGAAGAGATTTCGAATGCTTAAAAATGTCCAAGAAGCTACTTTTAGAACGTTTACGCAAATGAATAACTCAGAATGAATAGATTTCTTAAATAAAACGCGCACATCCGCGCATAGAACATTTTTATCGGTATTATTAGTATGATTCGTCTAAGTATTTTAGGAACGTCCTATAATTAAACTAAAGTCCTGAAAAGAAAAGCATTTACTTTATGTAACATGCTCGGTATATCGGTACTATGTGCGCTGGGGATTTTGCTATTACGGATCGTATTAAGTTGTTTTTTGAAGCTGAAAGGATGCCATAAACGACATTGGCTTGCGATCGACGTAATTTTCCGCAGACTGCTTTTTAAGTGTCTCACGAGAAGAATCGTTGCTGTGTTGTACATATTTCCCGCAAAATAACGACGATGATGTTGATGATGACAACAATGATGGACCAGTCGTTTTAAGAAAGATAAATAAAAAAAAAAAGGGAGAGAGAAAGGGGCCGAATGTCTGGCCAGTAGGGATAGTGCATGTTGTGTTCGATGTGTGTTGTAATGGGAGGGCACCGGGGGTTCAGTCTCTGATGATCCAGGTGGCAAAGAAGGCGAATGTGCTGAAGAGGCGGAAGTCACGGAACCGGATGGAGGTCCAGCAGCAACAACAGCCGACTCTGCCGCCCGTCACGATCTCGGGCGGCATATCAGCCGGTGCTGGGACTGGTCAGAATGACAATCAACGTCTCGAGAACGAGGGCGACGTGGTTTTTTATATGGAGGAACCTAAGGTGGGCACGCCGAATCGTGCCAGACGTGACAATCGGTGAGAGACACCTAACAAATCTTTATGTTGAAGAGAGAGAGAGAGAGAGAGAGATATGCGTTGGGATATTATTCATAATAATGAAGAAGATTGCCTATTTTAATCCTAATCAGCCTTATTTGCGTTACATTACATTGCATTGCATACAATGTATTAATTCCATATTCCACGTATACAAAATTTGCCATAACAGCCCGAAGAGTTTCATATCGTCACCTTTAACATATCTGTGTCCGTTTCTTCGAGCGAAGAGTCGCTCGGAAGACTTGCCTTTCAGCTCAGTAAATACGACGGTGAGAAGACGGAGCTGATACCATGAAATTGGCGAACTTATTTCCGAATTTCACTATCGCCGTCGTGATATCGAATGAAAAGTATATCGAGATGTTCTGGGACTTCTTGAATGCGAGTAATTGCGCGCTGATCCTCAAAGGCGAGAATATATTCGTTGATGCACTAAGAGTCTTCTTACAATTATCGATTTAAATTCAAAATTTCTCAAGTGATGCATCACTTTAATCAAATGGTATTAATAGTATATTAATTTTCCTTACAAACCGCTTGCTTTTTTCGATTTTAGAAATTAATTGGTTTCCCACTAAAATCAAAATTTATTTGGATGCTTTGGCAAAAATTGTTAGAAATCTAATGTAGTTAAATTTCGAGTAAAATAAATCATTTATGTAATTGTATTATATGTTACGTTTCATAATATACTATATGCTATTTTTGGTATGTTGAAAATTTTAATTGACACCATACTCGGGGGAACAAACGACTGGAGTACAGTTATTAACACAGATCGTTTACAAACTAAACATTACAATATCCACACATTATATGCAAACATCACTTTATATTTGTATGTCAATTCACAAATATTAGATGATTTCCAGCAACGTACACAGGCGACTCTGTGTGTAACAGTGTACAATTCTGTTTTCTACTTGTAATACAAATCGAAATACAATTAAAACGCTGCGTTTGGCTGTATTGTCGTTTTTTTACATCTTTACAAAAAAAATACCTAACTTTTACATTTCATTATTTTTCATTTCTAAGAATAATGAGAGAATTCATGATTACATTTGGACATGTATGGAATCTTTTTACCTTACTTCATTCTAGCAGAGTGAAATAATAAAGCTGAGCTTGTTTTAACTACAACTCGATACTGCGTGTATTACTGTATCATACAGTATATGATTGTGTTCTATTCCTGGAAAGCACCTATTATTTGATGTTTGTACATTAATTTTAATTATTAATATATTCGAGAGTTAATTGAAGATATCAGATTATATTTATCGATAAAGAATCATTTCCAAATAATACTGATAATAACGGTAATTTGACGAGGCATATCATCGATATATTATGTACAAACGTCATTTGATATCTTTCATCAGTTTTCGAACGCATCAATTATTATTGATATGTTTGAAAGTTGTGGAAGATATCAGATGATGGAAGATATCATATATGTGATTTGTCTACGAAAGATTATGAATTACCGAGGCATATAAATTGGTAATATATCGGAGAAACTGTTGAAACTATTGATTGCTGTATTATCTGTTCTAACGTATTTTAGTTATGTAAATTAAACATAACTTAACTTGTAGAAATCCTTACGCGATATAAAACGCTTGATGAAACGCAAACGCTGCATTGTGCAAAACAAAGTGTTCTTTGCAATCCACATTTATTCAACGTGAGTTCAGAATTTATATCCGCGGTATCTCTATTGTCCTAATGCACCACTTCGAAACAAAATGTAAACTTTCTGTTTAGCTGTTTCTTATTTGTGTCTACATAGTTTGAAGTTTCTCCCAACGGTATTTCTCTCTACTGTCAAGAGACGCATATTTAGCAAATTGCTCTGGAGAAAGATTCTCAGAAGTCATGAGCTGTGTAAAAGACGAAAGTTCCGATATCAGATGCGTTAAACATCGAAAATGCTAAATATTTACTATAGGTGCATAATAATAGTTTTGTGGAAAATGCGTGTGCAAGCATGCTTAAATATTTTTATGTCATAACTAAAAAAATTAAGTAAAAGTTTAGCAAAGTTTGTAATATATAAAATATTCGATATACATTACTGTATGAAGTGAGTCTCAAATCGTACAGAGAAAGTTGCCCTGTCAGCCTGTGTCTAAAAGGCATCTTCTCCAGAGCAATCTCATCATGTCGAAAGAACGAGATCCGTGAGCCCGTAATTTAACTAGCGTGTTTCCGGTTGGCAGGGGAAGTCTCTTCACCTCGCAGACGAGTTCAGTGACGGAGGCGACCAGCGACGAAATTGATATCGACATCGAAGAACCGCAGAGAGTAACCACGTGAGTATCTGTTGATACCTTTTACGCATCTTTTCTACGTGCGTTGAAATATGTATTAACCATACGCAGACTTATCATTTGTTCGGTAACTTCTGAAGCACAACTCTCAAATCCACTACGGACTCCGCGGTCGATCGTCGAGTTATTAAACGCCCGTTTCGCGTGTATATACATCGAGTTAGATCGCGCCGACCGAAATCAGAGTATAGGAAGCCGAGGAACATATATCTCCATGCAAATTACTTCTACTTTGCATGCGGAATCGATAGTACCGGGGAATTTTCCTGTACCTCATGCATACCTCGTATCATAATATACGGATAAATATCACAGATCGTTACGAGTGCACTAACACCAGAATACATTATAGAATATGCTTTCTATTCTCCAACAAAATTTAATTTTGCGAAAATCCTGTAGTTTCTGTTCACTTTTTGTGCTCGTTGCTATTAAAAAACGATTGAGTTCTGCTCCTTTCGAAAGGAGATTCGAAAATCTGCGGGGGCTCGATCTATAATAGCATTGGAGTAATGTCTTGCAACTTGGTAATCGAGTACACGTAAAGGAACGGTAGTGTCGCTGCGCTTGGCTTAGCGCCGAGACACTACCGTGTTTCCAGAATCTGATCGTTCTTTTTATCAGCTTCTAAATTTGCATTCACGTTTTTCAATTTTCATCATCCATTACCAATCACTTCCAGCTGAATGATCCATTCAAGAGAAAAATAAAAATAGAATATTGAATATTATCTAAAATACACATAGTATATACGCGAGTACAGTCTATCTTTAATGCACTCTCAAACGTGAATAATTGAATAAATATGTAAATATTAAATGAATAAATATTTAAATTACAATTTATTTCAACAGCGATCGCATCTATATTTATTATCTATATTATCATCTACGTATGTTCATAGAGTACAATTTTTAGATAATTTTAACCAACGCTTATTTTTACATAGATTTTCTATGAAATTTAAAGAAATGTTTGATAAAATATTTTATACTAGATTTTTATGTATAAGTAAATATATAGGTAAATAAATAAATATATATATATATATATTTACTTTTTAATGCTGAGAATGTTTTGTATACTATACATATTTAATATATTGTATATTTGACCTCGGATTTTTAATTTTGGTGTTTAATTTGACACATATTTAACTATGGTACAAATATATATTCAGTTGGAACGATTCAATCTATCTGTCTTTCAATATTGCGAAACAATATTCTTCAATGCGATAAAATCTGCTTGATTTCCATTCGTTAAGAGTTAAGAACGTCTATGAAATAATTAGACGTACAGATGTATGTACATATTATATATAATCGCAGCGTTAAAAATTTACACATTTTCATCACAGTCAAATCCGTGAAAGAGAGGCGATAAGGTATGAGGGAGGCCTTTCTCGGCGGCTTTTCGCGCCATTGACATTTTGAAGAGAGTCGGTTCTGCGGGCGCGAATGAAACGCATGGTATTTCGCACAAAAGGCCCTTTTCGTACACTCGCACAGACTCGCGTGAGTGCTTTTTCCACCTCGCCATTACTTCACGCCGGTATAAATGACCTAGATTTCACGGTGTCGAACGAACGTGCATATATATGCTTGAGACTTATACATAAAGACACTTGCCAGATTTTTCCCTTCCATCTTCACTCAACTCCTTTCGCTCTCATTCATTTCCGCCCGACGCTTTCTTATGTATGCCAACCAGAAAGCATCTCGTTTAGATACCTTTCATTGCAGACCACATCCGTTTCGATTTTGTTTAAAAATATTATCTTACGTGTTTCGTGAAATCAAACCTTTTCCCATGTTTCTCACTCCTCTGAGTGAAAAACTATTATTTACTGAATCTTTGTTTTCCTTGTTACTAATTATTGTATACGAGTTATATGCTCTTGTTGTGTGTGTATTAAAATTTGATATATTAAATTTTAATGATATATTTTTATTTCCTTGCAATTCTTTTCCGTTAATTTTAAAAAATAATAAAATTTTATTATCCGCAATTTTTCATCTTAATAGGATTAAGTATAGGACCACAAGAACTTTTGCATTCTGTTAATCCTTACACATTACTTAAGTATTTTCTTTTATAACATAATTACCTGTCTCGTACCTCAATTCTTATCGTTTTCTTTGGTGCTTTTGAATTATAAATAATGATTAATAATGTTTTCTATAGTAGTTTTTAAAAATAAATACAATAAGTATTTGCACTGGATATAACAATGTATTTGTGTGTAAGCAATGTTACATACATATGTATATATGATAATTATTAAGAAATGAAGTGATTTACATCCCAAACTTATTTATATCCCGAAGTAAAATAAATGTATCTACCCGTTTATTTGTTACTAGTTCTACTTACATGTCGAATTCTCTATTTCTCTATTGTGACACTTGGTAAACGTTCCTCGTTTTATCATGTATAAAGCACTCTATCTCACATATTGACACTCACGACAAAAGCATCTGTTAAGGAGCTATAAGTGTTCTTGGAGACGTAAACACCTGAAGAATAGGCATTCTTCTCGAGAGCATATTCCTCCGTTCTACGCCGTGGGGTCGAGAACTAATAGATAGCTAAAGCTAAGTCGAGAGAGAAGAAAATCATTATTTTGATCATACGTGAGTTAGCTTGTAATCTGAGATGAATATTGACGTGGAATATTGGCATTTGACACGAATCAATTTTCCACGTTGTATATATCATAATTATTTTGCGGGCTACGGATAGTATATAAATTGCGAAAAGGACAGCTTTATCGATATTACATTTATCTCGAATTTAAATTGCTTTATCTCGAAAGTAAATTTACTTATTTTTAATGTACATGGTTATCTTAATAGACAAAAAGAGACTGTTAAAATGTTAGCGCTTTTAGTATCCTTGAACGTGCAACGCAGCTTTATACTTCATACAATTTACGTTAACGGAGTTGCACTTTACCGGTTATTTCTAACAAGGAAAGGGAAACGAGCTGTATCAAGTTGCGTCTTGCCACGTCATGATCGACTAGGAAAATTAAGTTAGCGAAGATCGCTAACTTAAGAAGGAATTGATTTCTCTCTCGCTCGAAGAGAAATTGATTTCTCTTCTAAATAGAATCAAGCAAATTTGAAACACACTACAATAAAGTGGCTCACGATTGAATGTTGTTATTATGATATATGATATCAATAGCGATTAGATTCAAAGTTAACACTTTCATCCCAGAGCATATTTTTATCCTTATTACGATACTTTTAATGATATTTTGTATTTATCACATATTGCAAATAAAAAAGAAGAGGTGACTATAGTATGCATCTAAATATATCCTTTCTCTGTTACTAGTCTAAATTTCTCGTTTTGTCACTTTTTAGATTGACAGAGGCACATCGGAATGCTATTCGGGCAATCAGGAAGATCAAGTACTTCGTGGCTCGCAGAAAGTTTCAACAGGCTCGGAAACCGTACGATGTTCGTGACGTCATCGAGCAATACAGTCAAGGTCATCTAAACATGATGGTGCGGATTAAGGTGAGTAGGTCCTAAATACTAAATACTTACATCTATAATACTACATCTTGAAGATTATGATTTAATATTGAATACAGGCAGAGGCAGCCGGTTATTTGAAAAAAAAAAAAAAACATCGTTTCGTTCTCAAGACCACTCGCTGCGGCACTCGACAAATTTACATTTTAAATCATTCGTCGTGTAATCTAATGAGTAAATGACACACGACAAGATAAACCTGTCTATCGTGTAATAAACAGTAATTGCTCTTATTTGACGAATTAGTGAATACTGAGCGATCGTCAATAGCAAATTCTAGTTCCGTGTTTAATCGACCATATACGATCGCCAACGATTAGTTCGACACGTAATATCGAAGGGCATGTCATACGAAGTCCGTGTCAGTTCACGAGACAATGTAACCATCGGTACACGGTGCAAAACAGAGCCATTAATTAATCGACAAATGATTGTCGCGACTTACATCATATACTCATCGGGCACCGAAAGATCGATAGCACGTATCTACACATTAATTTCTTAACACATGAATTTTAAGAGACTTTCGGAATATATGGATAAGAAATACCTATATACTGTATGTATATTAAGAGATGTAGTTACAAAACTACTTATCTTTTCGCGAAAATAAATTAAAACAAACTTAAATTGTGATAAATTATTGTTTTTGCTCGTATTTCATTGTGCTTTCATGGTGCTCTTTTCAAGTTAATTTTCACTGATATCTTTTTTTCATCTTTTGCGCACGTAACAATTTAACATAAAACCTCAAACAAAAATACATTTGTGATTTTAAACAGTTCGATATATCATATATTGACAATTTTATCTATTTATTTAATATGAGTTGACATATTCGCCAATTAATATTAAATTGCATTAAGTGATGTTTGTTGTTGATACTTATTTGATATTTATTACTTAAATAATAAAATGTTTTCAATTATCGTTCAATAATTGCTGCAAAAAAAGTGACTTAAAAAGCCTGGTGCAAAGACAAAACGTCAATCACGGTACGCTCAACTTCTGTGAGCACACTGTCTTTTGTTTGCCGAAGAAACTTCGGTACTTTACGACGAGCGAATATAAAGTTCTATTATATGTACGTATATCGAGGAGATCGATAATATCCTCGAGCCTCCGGTGTTTGGCAACGAGTCCCGCTGACGAAATTTCGAACTGCTCGATTTAATTGCAAGCGCAACCGATGCTTATTTGCGCAATTGTTTAATTACAGCACAGCGTGTTAATTTTGATCTTGAAATGCCGCCTTTTGTCTCATTTTGCTACGTCTATCGTTATGTCTGTTCCATATTGCAAGAATTGCGATAATTTTGTGAATTCACTGCAAAATTGCATCAGATTGCAGAAACAACGAGGAAACGAGAAGCTGAGGGACGAAGGTGTAAAGCAATATTAATTAACAATATGAAATATTAATAGCGAATAACGATTTCTCTTTTCACGTCTGCGCCGCTCGTCGATCACCGCGTTTTTCGGCGTAGCCTGGGAGTAGAATTACGGGCGGTTGATTGCACGTTCGATTTGTCCGCAGGAGTTGCAGAGGAGATTGGATCAGACCCTGGGTAAACCGGGGAGCTACCTGGCGGGAATCGACCGGGCAGGCAACGTAAAACCCATGACGATTGGCGCACGTTTGTATCGAGTGGAGCAGCAGGTGCGTCTTTCGCTTTAATTACCGTAATGTTTCTTTTATGAATATTTAACTGTCCTACTTCCTCAACGCATACCTTAATGCGTGTGTGAATCTATCTTCGTATTTGCGAAGGGAATACATAATTGAATAACCTACTTTCGAATCTATATTTTCAAAAAATTACATTTACGAGGTTATTACGAGCTTTCCACGGCTTTATGAGTATAAAAACGTATGTACAATTAATACAATTAAAAAAGCATATTTCAAAGAAAAAAGAATTATGATTTACAATTTTTTTTATGTTTAATATAATTGAAACATTACAATGTTTTAAAAGTTCAAAATCGAAACTATAAAAAAAATAAAACCTTTTTTAAACATAATTTTTCATACTAAAGCAAGCGGTATGCTAGGAAAAATGTATTCCCTTCAAAATTAAATATATTATTAAAACTTTTAATTTTTAAAAAAGTTTATTGTGAAGAGCTACTTTAGGATTATGGAATTTATTGAATATTTGGTTCCATTATGTGATATTTGTTACGGATTTGTCTTTATTATAATAACTTGAATTTAAAAGTTCTTTCTCAATTTTATATTATATTGAAATTGTTGAGTTAAACTTGTATTCAGCGACTTGAAAATTCTTCTTAAGCTTGAATAAATGACTGGAAAATATTTGTGTCTATGTTTCAATATGAGTTAATAATTTAATTGTCACCTATTTTACTAATCTATGATTTAATCTTCTATTACCATCATCTTCACAATTTTTTTTGAAAATTGAAAGTTTTAATAATATATTGTATTTAACTTTGTTAAAATAGAATAAAATCTTTCCACCACGTCATAATTGTACCGTAACTATACTAAAATAGTTTTTTTTAATTTTCAATTTTAAATTTTTTTAAACTGAAATGCAATTTTGAAGATCAAAATTATATTTTGTTAAATATGTAGTACAGAAAGAGTATTTAATCTTTTTCTTGAATTTGGAAATTAGTTATTTTTTGTAAAATTATGTAATGTTTCAACTACAGATTTAGAATTGCAAATCAGTTTATTGATTATTTCAGGTTATGATAGAATTATATTCACATTTGCGTAATCTTTATCATTTAAAAAATTTTTTAATTGGTCCTTATTCTCTTATAGAAAATTTACATACGATACGTATTTTACCCTATTAATTATTCTGTGGAGAATCACAAATTTCCCTAACTCAAAAGCAAAAAATGCACAAATGGTGAAAAATACGAATGGAATTGCATTTGTCGTTGACTAACTCTCATATAAAAAAAACTCTCTTTCTCTCTCAATGGAATTAATTACTTAAAATATTATATAATCTTATTGAAAGAGTAATTATAGAAATTATGTTATATTTATTAAGTAATTCTTAAATTTTCCCTATAATTTTATATACCTATAGAAAACATGGATGTCAGAATTTTTTCGAAAAGGGGAATATGGGGATCATTATTATCATTATTATCAATTTTGTTATTACATAAACAAGAATTTCTTGTGCTAATAAATTGCTTTTGAATATTTTAGAACTTTGAATATCTTCTTCTCTTGATTTTGAAAGAAAAAAATATTAGATTTTATAAATCATAACTTTTATTTTTTTTTGGTTTTGAAGAAAATATGGATAAACTTCCGAAAATGGCCAACGCCCGATTGTCATAAAATTAAAATAACTTGCTACTTTTTTATTATATAACAAATAGAAATAATATTAATTGTACATTTATGTAATATCTTTGAAAAGTCATATGTATAATATGTCTTTGTTATGATCAATATTTATTAAAAGTTATTTGCAATTTAAAAAATGCATTTAATCCCTTTTTCCGAATATTGATCATAGCACTGTAGGAATTGATAGAAAGAAAAGACTATGAACTACAAAAATGTTTTTTATCTTCACATTCTTGTAGAAGAAATACAAAACGAATGTGGAATACACTTTTTACACTTGTACAAACAGTACAGTCAATTTAGACGAAAGTTGGACGGGACTTCGGAAAAAATACCATCAGGATGAATTTTTACACAGATCTTTATTTTTGCATAAGATTGAAGGAGAAAAAAAGTTTACCATTGTGCAATAGCCGCTAAGAAAAATAATTAAACAAATAGGCCTCAAATTTCGATTTTTTGCTAATTTACTTTCAATAATAACTACTATCATTGTCAGAATACTCCATTTTTGTGAATAATTACACTGATAACGTAGAAATATGCGTGTACGACGTAGCATACTATACAATATAAACGACCGAATGTAATATTATTAGAGTTTTGTAAAGCATGTACGAGTGGTGGAAATTTGGAAGAGATGAGGGTTTTTTTTACCGCGAACATAGAACACACATTTGCTATTTCTGAATGACATATTCCTACACAACAAAAACAACCTCTATTATACTTTAATATAGATCTATGGAACAATAGTCCACCTGGATTAAGGCTCTTTTTTCATAGATTATATCATTTTTCCTACCATAGAACAATCGAAATGAGTTCATATTTTACTAATGTAAGCAATTCTTTGTTTGTTTGCACTAATCTCCGAAAAAAGGGCCTAAGTAGAATTATCTGGAGACACGGTAGTGTCTCGGCGCTAAGCCAAGTGTCTTTATTCCACCCACCCTCTCAATTATTATGATTAAAAATGAAATATGTAGTTATAAATGGAGTGCTCATTAGATTATAATAATTAATTTTGAATTTGTATTATATTTTAAAATGTTCTAATTTGTTCAAATAAAATGCTTGGGAGATCAAAGATTTGTTTTTTTTATTATTTTTTAGTCACTTCGCATAAATTGAAGCGTGAACTTTTTTTTGACGTGAATTTTTGATTATATCGATATAAAATTTTCTACTTGCAGCTATCTGTGATGGACAAAAAACTGGATCAATTGGTGCATGTATTAAATGCGTTGGCGCAGAAGCAGCAGATACCCCTGCGGAGTATAGAGGACGATGTGTAACAGAGAGCCCCCGGCGAACTTGGGCAATCAGTTTTACGATCACCTGCGATTCCACAGATCCTGCCTCGCGTTACCATAACTACAGTGACGCCAAATATGTTCAGCGAGGGCTCTTAACAAGGGAGATGGCACGCGCCCGATAATGCTATCTCGAGCATGTCTGGAAAGTACAAATATTATAGCGTACGCTATTTGATTCCATTCGATTCTTGAGAGACTACATTCGGAAGACTGTGACATCGAAGAGATCGTTATTGGTATTGGCAATTCTGGCGATCTTTGTAATTTCATTGTGGCCACAGAGGTCCATTCTTATATTCTCGCTCTTATAACTCGATGGAATTACGATCGTCGTCATCACTGCCATCATGTCATTAGCAGGAGAACAATATCTTCTTCAGAGAAATATCGTTATCAGACTCGAGATTGAGAGGAGTCCTCAAGCGTAAACGCAAACGACGAAGTCAAACGCACAGGACGGATAATCGAATTAATGATAAACGAATTAGGCGCGGAGCTAAGGCATAGAGACCGTAGATTACGGTTATTGTATACGGATGATGATATTTCTTTAAACGGGAATGAAAGTATCGCGAGGTAATCGTGCGATATTATCAAAGAAAGAGCGCGAAGAAATATATTATTTAATGACGGAAAATTGATCTTGTGTCGTCAGAAAGAAAAAGGAATCTCGAGAACTCTCTGTTCCACTTCTTTTTCAGTTCGCCGAAAGAATGGGTAAATGTCAATGGGAACATCACTCGGGCCAACTAGAAGTAATAAGGAGAAACAATAAGCAACATTGAACTTCCTAGAACAAATTTTAATTAAACTCGTAGACTGTCGATCGACTGATCGTCAAGCGGTGGAACCGCTTATCAATCCCAAAGCGATTCCAATGGTTCTGCAGGGTTTACGATTTTAAATTGTGGTTCCATTTTGTTTTCATTTCTCGACACGGAAAAGTAGAACCGTGGCTCGCGGAGTGTTTCCAGTTTCAATTCCGTGAGCGCGAGCTCTCTCGATTTATTCATATTTCCCGATTTAATTCTTTGGCCTAGCACAAATATAGATATTTCGAGATAAGCCCGCTTCAAATCCGCATGTACGAATTTTCCATCTTCTTTTCTTTTTTTATAACACTTCTCGATCGCACTTGCCTACAGAGCTTGTTCCTGAAGAGCAATACATCTACGTAGAATTTAGATGCTCCGTATTAGAGAATTCGCGATATGCAATATATATCCGTAATATTAGTCTTCGAACACGCGAGTTCTACGAAAAATATTTTAACGAATTATTAAGCCACGAGAATGGATATGAGTGAAAGGAAGTGTATATATATATATATATATATATCGTGTGGAGACGTGTCACTCTCGTATACAAATACAATTTATATTTTATACGTACGTTACTTAGGGAATATTTTAAGCTCGAAGACGTGCATTACGATCTTGAATCCCGCGCGCGACTTGCAACGTTACAAAATTTTCTTATTTAGGATCGGAGCCACGGATTGCGACGCGGCACGGAACTCTCGTGTCCGTTTTCTCTGATAAAGATTAACTTTAATCTCGGTTCAATTTATTCTTTATCTTTATCTAATTTTTAAAACTAGAGGAAGATGCAGAGAGTAAGTTGAATCGAGATTATAAAGTTAATTTATAACGATGGAAACAGGCATTAGACGAGCAATCTAACAACTTTTCATTAAATTAGATTGATCAAATGATTCGAGAAAGTACGAAGGAATGACGATTGAATTATACATATATCGAAGGATAGTCACAGTTTTTATGATTTCTCGACTGCCAAAATTAGATCTAAATGAGACGAGCAATACAACATTAATAAGTTCAGATAGACGGATTCGTGTCGTCTCGCGACTCGCGGTTTTGGGTCGATCGATTATAATAGCCAGTCTTTCGTGGGTGGAAAATCGTTCTTTATTAGGCGGATCTATCGCACTTTATATATCTATCATCTCTTATATACATATTATTGTGTATATATATATACATACAATAAGGATAGATTTAGCGACTTTCTTAAATTGAGCGGCTTCTAAGAGTATTTTTAATCACACAGAGACATATTATATGTATACATATACATTATATATATACATTATACATACGTATATAAATATAAATATATATATAAATATATAGGTGTAGGGTCCAAAATTATACACATTTTACAAGACTTTCTCGTGAACCAAAACACCACACTTTACTGCTGCAATGGATGTAGTGCTTGATTCGAGCCGATCAATTCGTTGCATCAGCGGACTATATACATCGCCGATCGAGCACACTCGATATTACATGTATTGTATGTCTATTTCGTTTTACGCGCATGAACAAAGTTACAATTTGTCTGTACACTTATTTTTGTATCGTAATATTTTTTTGTACCGTATCAATTTTCTTCGTATTTTTCATGCTTGTATATGTGTACATAAGAATTGTATAAAATAATTTATTGTTTACTCGTACGTACGTCAAATGCTCAATTGTTCTTGAATCAAGCACAACCTCTATCGATTATGATAAAATGGTAGTCAAGAGTCAGTAGTTTGAGAAAACGAAATTTAATGATCGTCTTCGGGGACAGGTATCTTTTTTAAAAAAGGTAAACTACATTTTTAAATTTTCTCTTTTCTCGACCAAATCACGCGTTGCCGACTTCTAGTTTTCGACAAGCATAATGAATACTCAAGAAACTCTCAGATTTTGATAATACCATTGAATGAGCACACTTTTAACAATTTTACATGGCGTTCTGTGTGCAATCCGATTATTTTTTACGAACTGAATCTTGCGATGGCTTGACTATCAGTTTATTATAAGTGTGTATTTCATCGAAATATATATGAAGAAAGTGCACTGGAAGAACGTAAGCAAAATACTCTGTAAAACACGCTTTAGCCTATACGTGCGTATGAGCACACTCTACGGTGCCTCTCACTTAACTTACTTCACTTTAACACGATCGAGTAATAAAATTACGATAACGTATAGATTATAAATGATAAATTATATAGATCACGACAATGCAATGTATAATTCTCGTGATGGTGTAGCGCGACGAAGACTTTTTCATTTATCTGACAATTGTTATAAGTATGTCGAGTAGTATCAATTTCATCATCTTCGAGTCTCGTAGAATTGTGAGCTTCTCAATTTCCGTTTCCGTTCCTCGTCACAAGTTCTTTTTAAGCGGCTTAAATAAATAACGGGACATTCTTTGTACAGCGCGAGACTTTAAAGAGACTTGGCGAGTATTGAGAAAAAAAGCACGCGCACGATGAACGAAATTTAGAGATACTATACAATCACGAGTACATAGAGGTAATTATCATTATAGAAGTAGAGACAATCAATATAAACGTCATTAACGGTGGCGCTATATGAAAATCAAATTTCCTTTTGTGACCTATTGAATGAAATTCTTAATGTAAATTTAGTCAACGAAGTAAAATAAGTTGATGAATTCCGTTTGTAGGTACTATATAGAGAGATTGGTGATATTCAATGACCTCGCGCTCCTAAGAGAGAGAGAGCACATCGTTATTTTATTGTATAAAATTATTATTCCGGCAATATATTATTTTGCCGGTTTGTTATTGCTTATACAACTGGGAAAATGATGAAGTATGTATAAATAGATAATGTAGACAGACTTTTTTTTTATAAAATTTTATTATATATTTCAGATTTATTTTTGTATGCGCGTGCGCACGGAGTGTCTCTTTCCAGTTGTGATAACAATAACTCTCTAATCACTTTGTATGATTATAAAATATATTTTTGTTGAAGATGCTCAAACATATAAATTAAGTATTTTATTTTGTATTCTAAACTTAGAGGAAGAACGTTAATTTTTCAATTTATAATTAAAGCTTCTGTTCTTTTAAAATTTTTGTGATTTATTTAAATGTGTATGAATTATGATTGACCAAGGACGTAAATTGTATCCTTTCTTCTTCAGGAATCGTGATAATTTATTATTGAAAAATAATTGAAAAGAAATACACATAATAATCATTGTAAAAACGAATAGATATCTAACGTTATATCTTAAAATACTCTAAAGGATCTCAAAATGCAAGTAGTGAATCGGCCAAAAAAGTATGTAATATAATTTTTATCATTAAACGCATGTGTGTGTATACATTATATATAATGATAAACATACAATTGGGTTAATAGAGATATACATAGAAATTGTTTGAGGCGACAAACTAGACTTATCGCGTATAAAATAAGCTCTCTTTTCTTACAATAAATTTAATTAACGCGAATATCAGCATTCAACTAGTAATAACGTAGAGTTATACGATCGAACGAAAAGTTCACTACTCTCTCGCGGCTTAAAATGTGATAACACGCAATCTACTCTAGTGGAAAGTTAGAAAACCGTGTCCGAGAGATCGCTTCTCTCCTTCTGTCTGAAAACTTCAGTAAAAAAAACTTAATAAAACTTCAGATACCTCCGCTCTAGTTTAAACCGCGACAGGTCGATATATTCTCTTATCGCCGACGTCCAACAGATTAGTCTAATTCAGTCGACACTCTCGCGCTTAATGGTATATAAACAAAATGTATAAAGCAGCACCATTAATTCATGCAAACTCGTTTAGAATTCTAAATCTAAACGATCGCGAATGGGTCTGAACGATCGGCGAATCTTTTCTAAACGCGCGCGTTTTCGTGGATCATGTGCCTATATACATATATTAGTATGCGCTAGGGCAAAAATGAATTTAGGAGATACATCATCTTCGTTGTACTCCTCTCCTTTTTGACGAAACGTTCTCACGAATCTTTTCCTCTCGAGTTCCGCTAATCAGCGCTGGATATCTACGTATATATTCCTCTACGTGTAAAATATCTATCCTATGATTTTGTGATATTGGAAATCAATTATTGGAAATCTATTAATAAAATTACAAACTTGGCACATGTTTGAAATTGCACTATTTTGGCAAGTTC